TTCATGTCTCTGATGATTTGATCATTCCATTAGATGTACAAGTTATTGATAGTAGAGATTAGCACTAATGAGTCCAATATCTTGCTAGTAATTCTCAAAGGATTAGTTCCTTTATCTTCCATTAAATGTACATTACTATAAACTCTGAACTGTGGTCGCTAGCCTATAAGTGGTGGAAAAAGTGATAACAGATGAAAATATTTTTGTTATATAAAAGTTTCATTAAATGAAAGTTTTCACAGGAAAATAAGCGAAAAGGAAGAAATTTAGCAATAATTATGGGAAAGTAATGAGGTTTGTGACAATCTATAATAGGTAGTTTGTCACCTGCGAATTTCTCTTAATCGTTTGATTATCTTAAAGAGAAGAACTTGTCAGATTATGAAGTCAATCTCAGATTTTTGGAATATTTTAAATCTCTTATAGTTGTCAAAATTGTTTTATTTTAAATGTCTTAGATATCCTTTAAAAAGTTTTGTCAGCAAATCGATGTAATAATCATTTTTTAACAAATTTAAAATTATAATTTAATTTCCTTTTTTTTCCACATTTGTTTAGGTTTACGATTACGATGACATGGAATACGTTGCAAATATATCAGTTGGCTCACCCATTGGGAAGCAAACGTTTTTGGTAGTTTTGGATACAGGATCATCAAATGTGTGGATTCCAGAAATGAACTGTGCTTCCACTGATTGTCTGGAAAAAAATCGTTTCGACCCATTACTCTCAAAAACATATGAGGAGGATGGCCGTACTTGGTCAATACTGTACGGTGATGGATCAAATGCGCATGGATTATTGGGGCGAGATTACATGGCTGTTAGCTAATCTCTTTTCTTCAAAAGTTCTTTGCCACTTTGCTTTTACGAAATTATATTTGCGATGATATGGCTTAATACTTCATTGTTAAACTGATCGCTGTATTGGAAATGATTGCTAGAATTCTCGAAAGTGCAGATTAAATTTCTGGCTATGTTTTTGGATGAATCCGGACTAGATAATTGAATAACTGAATAGTGATCCTCTCCTAATTTCAGTTGGCAATTTTCAGTTGTCATATCATCTGCGATAAATTGCTTTGAATGGAATACTACGAGCCATCTTTTTTTTTGGAACCTACAAACATTTCACATACTAATTAGTTCCATTGCTTTTTATTGGAATTAATAGGAATAAATAAATTATGTCTTCTTAGTATTAAATTATGACATTTAGAATATCATAGGAATACATTAGATTAATATTAGAGAGAATTATTTGGATTAAATTTCCAATAGTCCTTCCATTGTATTAACTTCAATTCTATTAACTGCTAGAAGGATTTTTTCTTTAGTTTGGATCAAATATGAATGGCTCACTGACTATTTCAAATATAACGTTTGGATTAGCTCGGAAATTAAGTGGATTCAAAGATGATCCAGTTGATGGCATTGTTGGCTTGGCTTTCACATCAATTGCTGTAAACGGTGTTACACCACCACTAATTGCTGCCATTAATCAAAACATTCTTGTGCCATCTCTTTTCACCGTCTGGTTAGATCGTCGAGTAAAATTTGCATATTGTTGATTCCACTGCTTTGGTGTTTTATTACATGTATTTTGAATTAAATTTTATCCATTGAATAGTAATATAAATTTTTTAGTACATCATATAACCAATTTTTAAGGGTGCACAACAGAACGTTTTTGGTGGTATATTTACTTATGGTGCTGTAGATAACGTGAATTGTGAAGATGTAATTGATTATGAACCACTGTCATCAGCAACATTTTGGCAGTTTCGCTTACGTGGTGTTAAAGCAGTTGGTTATTCCATAGGTGGAACGTGGGAAGCGATATCGGATACAGGGACATCGCTAATTGCTGGACCGGCCGCCGTCGTTAATCGTTTGGGTGCAGCTGTCAAAGCAAAAGTATATCTTTAAAAAATAAAAAAAAAGTTAAAGTTGAATTTTTCAGTTAAATGACTAAGTGACTTTTTCGAAATGGATTAATCAAGAAGTACAGGGACTGTATTTTGAAGATTAAACGCATTAATAAAAAGCAATTTACCAGATGAAAATATTCAGATATTTATGAGCGAATATTCAAATTAAAAAAAAAAATAACTATTTAGTACGATCAAAATGAAGAAATGTTCTTCATAAAATGTGATGCTAAACCTCCACCAGTTACACTGATTATTGGTTCTCATGAATACAACATACAATCAGAAAATTATATCGTTGCGGTATGTTAAAAATTGAAGAATTTAATTCTTTTGAAATTCAATTTTTCCATTTCCAAGGCTTAAGAAATACTTATTTTAAATTAGGACAATTAACCCTAAATAAATAGCTGATAGGAATGAAATAACTGCATCAACTTTTATTATCCAATGAATAATTAATAGTTCAGTGATTACAGTTATTGAGTGTAATATCTGTGTGAAACTCTAGCAGGAATAGTTCATGTTTGTTCAGTTTGAAGTTTACATAGTTTGAAATTTTGCGCAATCATTACAGTTGCATACCTTTCAGATTGAAAACAACACATGTATTTTTTCATTCTTCTCACTGGAAGGTGGCGGTTTTGGACCAGCGTGGATATTTGGTGATCCTTTTATCAGGCAATATTGTCAAATTTATGATATTGGTAAGGAACGGATTGGTTTTGCCCTAGCAAAGTAATAAATTGTATTGATTAAAATATCAGCAATTGAAATAAAACATTTTTCTGTTGCACGAAAATTTACTATCAAGTAGATAAAATATTCCGCAAACTACTCTGATATGTTAATCATAATATGTTCATTTCATTAAGCAAGAAAAGGGGAATAGAGATAACAGATCAGTCTAATGCTTAATTAATGTGAGCAAACTAGCTAACGGAGATTTGTTAGATTCAAACTTATCAACCAGCACCTCAACACACTTTACATTCGATCATAATGTTTTTTTCCTTGATCCACTAGTATGCAAATATGTATTCGAAGTATGTGACAAATAATGTAAGTATTGAATATTGTCTAACCCTAATTATTTCTGTACTGAATTTCTTATCGATCATGAAATCCTTCAACAATTTAACAATGATAATATTTTGTAGTTATCTTTTTTTTAAATGTTAAAAGCCTGGTCTATCTTGACTTGCTAAATCAATCATATAGTTGAAGTTATATGAATTCTATGGGTAATGTTCGATACGAAAAATAAGAAATATAAAGAATCATAAATGAATGTGTTGTAATGTACTGTAGTAATGTACTAATTAGTATGTATCATGTTGGATCGTGACAAGATCAAAATCATCCAATTTCTCATCTGTATGAGTAGGGCGCTATCATTGCATAGAATTATATATGTATTATTTGTTTAGCAATGTACCCCAAAGTATTGGGCTCTTTATACGGCTCATACACTATGTGCGCTAAGCAAAGCGCATAACTAATACTAATGCTTCACCAGTACTAACAGAAAGTGCTTTATCCATATAAACTAACAAAGGCGTAATTCGTATAATCGTGAAATCATTTCTTGAAGGATATTTATATAAACTTTGCAAATAGAAGAAGGACATTCATCCTTTCTTTTATTTTTTCAGATTAGTCTTTTCGAAATTCATTTTACGGTATTTTTGAATTATCTTTATGCGTTAATTTGTATTTTGTAATTCTTAATGATTATGTGACGTCAAGTAATTCTTAATAATTTTGCAACATAAATATTCATTTTTATTTTATTCGATGATTTAGTTACCCAAGTTTGAAGTTTAATCACCAACGATTTTTATTAAATGTCTTTTTCTTTTGTGAATTCAATTTTTAATAACTTGTATAACAGGTGTAATCACTCTTGAAATTTCAACATTAGAATTTCAAACTTAGAAACCAGTAATGGTTAACATCTTAAATAATTATCATGAATTAATCCATTTATTGTTCGACTATCTTTTTTGTAGTGTTTATATTCTTCGACAGTATCGTGCTCCTATCTGAACTATAAGGAAGTCGATTGATCGGTTGAAATATGAGAATCTCGACTATTCTCCAATCAAGAATTTATGGCATTAGATGGTAGTAGACATACAAGCATTAAATGAATGTCCTATAAGACTGTCAAAAATTTTACATTGCGTAATGCAAAATGACAGGAAGTTGGACAACTGGAATTTCTGTAAATGAAATAAAACAATAAAAATATTTACGCTTCACATCAATTATTTCTTTGTCAATTAAAATTTGCTCGAAATTTCCAAGTAATTTAGAAAGATTTTTGCAAACATTCATCATTTATGATTGAACGGATAAGCACCTTGGCATTTAAGGAAAGAAAGTATGCTTGTTTGAAGCCGCCTGATATGATTAACGAATCATTCCCATTTCATAATATCTTGTCAAGATCATTTTTACGATATAAAACATAACTGCTAGCATTGTCACTCAATGCTTTTGGTAATTGAATTTTATTTTTTATTTTTTTTTTTGATGGGACTGAAATAGCCAATTTTTAATCCTTGCAAATACTCATTACTCTCAATAATGCAACTCTTTTGTTATCTATATAAGATGCAGTTTGGTCAAGCGGTCACTCAGTCATTTCATCTTTACCATTTTGCTGACATATTCCCATTTAAAACCATTTACTTATAATATCATATTTATTGTTGTTACTTGCTTTTGCATAATCAATGAAAACTGAATGGACATTTTATGCAGAATATCACAAATTACTCTTTAACGAAATTATTAATTTAATTTTATATTTCCTAATCATTTATTTAATTATCGCCTGAAATTGTTACATTTGCCATTTTTCTCTTTGATAGAATGAGTAATCGTTTTATTACAATGTGTTTCAATATATTTCTGGGATATATTATACGCATGTTATAAAGTAAGTAAGTACTGTCTCATAAATTACACCATAAGATAATTAATTAGATGAGAAAATTGTGACCTGAATATTGTGATCTGCCAATAATGAATAATTGTCAATAACGATTAATGAGTTCAGATACGTGCAGTATTTCAGTATTTTTTTTTTTTATGTACTGCAGGATATACCACTAAGAGATTTCAACAGCAAATGATGGTAAGGAATCATTTATGAAGCATTTGCATTCAATTATATAGCAATCTAATTTCTACAATCATCGAAATTGGTGACATTGATTAGCTTTGATTTTTGATTTCTCTTTGACAATTTACTTATTATCATTTAATGTTTTATTGTTCAATTTCAATTGATGAGTGAGGTGGAAAAAATGATTAGAAGAGAAAAAAAAGAAACCAGGTTTATTGTATGCATAAATGGTACATGCATGATTTCAATGAAATAATCTATTAGACTTCTTTAGTGCATATTTCATTCATAAAAGAAAATAAATTTTTTTCCTAAATTTTCATTCAAATTACATATCCTAAATTAACTACGGATAGGGAATTTTTTTTTTCTGATATTACCATTGAATTGAAAATTTTTGCTCGCATGGTTGGAATTAAAAAAAAAAAAAAAAAAGAAAATTCCTATTTATCACTATTTCCATCTAAAATCCTTTTTGAATTTTCCCCTTTTAAAATTTTTCCTTTTGAAAATATTGTTATCATTGCCTAGAGCTAAATGACATGGTTAGCTTTGTCATCGTTATTTCTATAGTACAAATTGAATAGCTTATTGAGGTAATGAAATAATCACATAATAAAATAGATAGGTAAATATTTATTGCTCTTTTACTGGAATTACATTACTCATCACAGCGGCATTTGGAAATAAACTTATTAGACTTAAACTTTTTCCATGAATAATGATAGTAGTAACAGTAAGAAGACGAAGAAACAATAAAATGACAGATGAATAAGAAAAAAGTTGACAGTATTTGATAGAACAATTAGTGTGGTACTTCAATTTGCAAGCATAATTACTAGAAAAGGAAATACAAGCAATACTTCAATTGCTATCTAACAAAAAACAAGTTTTAAATGTTTCCATAGGAAAATTCATTTCCATCAAATATTTTTTTTGCTTTTCATATTTTTATGAATTTGTTATTGATCACTGATTTATTTTAGTTTATTTTTCCTGCTATTAAATGGTTTAACAGATATTTCAGACCTATTTTTTCCTTTTTTTTTAGCGTATGATTTAAATTTATAAATTTTTTAAAATATATTCACTAATACTTTTTATGCGTTTCAAAATGATAGCCAAAGCAACTCACATTAATTAAGAAATCTACTTAGAACTGATCAAAACACTCCTAGCACTACCTTGTCTTTCTTTTTTTTTTTTCACAGCTAGCATTCGGGTGCAATTGATTTGAATTCTCGGGAGAATCTGTTCTTTTAGTACTTTCGAAATTAATCCAATAGCATCTTATGCAATGCAATGATGCAAATACACATAATTTAATAAAAGGTCATTTGTTAGCCTAACGTCATTCGATAAAGTTTTTTTGGACCATTGTCTACTCAAAGTTATTGTATCATACCATTTTGTATTTGTATATATTAAGCCTTATGTAAGGTATGAAGAAATTGATAATTCTATTTTTTAAAAGATAACAATGATGATTAAAGATTTTCAACATTTCTTTATTCTCCTGAAAATAATTTAAGGATGATAATAAGAGAGGAAATAGGAAAATGTATTGTGAACAGCTGGGTAATTGCCTAATTGATTGAATGTTAATTAAATGATAGTAGCAGCTTGTAGTTCATATTACTTTCAAATTAGTAATTTGTTGACAAAATTGTAACGAAAATTAGCACTTTTGATTTACATCTTTTATATTTTTTCTCATATGGTATTTGCTCAAAATTATCGAAAAAAAAAGAGTTGTTTGTTTCCTTTTTCTCTTTGACTTTTTTTCAATGTTTGTTTTTCAAATTTCTTCATAAAATTTATAAAAAAAAAGAAAAAATAGTCATAGTGGTCAATTCTTCAAATATT